CGCTCACCCACCCCTCAAGCTCACCCGCCCCTCCCAGCTGCACCCCCCCTTCAAGCTACCCCACCCCTCCAAGCTCACCCCACCCTCCAAGCTCACCGCCCCTCCCATCACCCCCTCCAAGCTCACCCCACCCTCCCAGCTCACCCCGTCCTCCAAGCTACTTCCCTCCACGTTCACTGCCCTCCCTTCAGGTATCATCCCTCCCCCCTCCTCTATAAGATGAGCCAGAGCCTGAAGGATGGAAGAGGCTGGGCCGGGGCCTCAGGAGCTGGTTGTCTGCAAAATAATTAACCACAAGCAGCTGTTCTGCCACTTACTCCCCCCAAGGCCTCTATGAAGGCCAGGGCTCAGGCCCGGAGCGGTGATGGCTCACACCTGTCGTCCCAGCACTCTGGGAGGCCCAGGCGGGAGGATGGTTCAAATTCAGGAGTTCGAGACCAGCCTGAGCAAGAGCAAGACCCCGTCTCTACTAAAAACAGAAAGAAATTAATTGGCCAACTAAAAATATATATATAAAAAAAAAAGTGAACATGCATGGAGGTGCATGCCTGTAGTCCCAGCTACTCGGGAGGCTGAGGCAGGAGGATGGCTTGAGCCCAGGAGTTGGAGGTTGCTGTGAGCGAGGCTGAGCCACAGCACTGTAGCCAGGGTGAAAAGAGTGAGACTGTGTCTCAAATAAATAAATAAATAATTAAAACATGCTTTTTTGAGTCTCGCTGAGTTTGCACGTGTGCCAACAGAGTCCTGCTGGTCACCGTTTTGACGCATTTTTTTTGTTGTTGTTGTTTATTTTTATCAGAGGGGAGAGGCACAGGCACGCACAGGCTTGCAGAGTGCCCAGACCCGCTGGGCTTAGCTCCGTGCTGGCTCTGCCCGTTTCCCCTTTGCACGCCAATAAATCCCAGTTTGGAGCTTTGGTCATCTCCGGGGTGGGCTGAGGATTCCTAACTAATACATGCGTGTGCACATCCTCAGCTCGTATCAAGCATCCCGACAAGTTTTTTTTTTTCTGAGACAGAGTCTCACTCTGTCGCCCGGGCTAGAGTGAGTGCCGTGGCGTCAGCCTCCCTCACAGCAACCTCAGACTCCTGGGCTCAAGTGATCCTCCTGCCTCAGCCTCCTCCCGAGTAGCTGGGACTACAGGCATGCGCCACCACGCCCTGCTAATTTTTTCTCTATATATTTTTAGTTGGCCAATCAATTTCTTTCTATTTTTAGTAGAGACGGGGTCTCTCGCTCTTGCTCAGGCTGGTTTTGAACTCCTGACCTCGAGCCATCCTCCCACCTTGGCCTCCCAGAGTGCTAGGATGACAGGCGTGAGCCACCGCGCCGGACCTCCTGAGAAATTTTGATGGTAAATATAATCTTATGGTATTTGCACACGGAGATCTTAATTTTTCTTCTTCCTTGTCCCGGGGTTTCAACGGATTGGGAAAGAAGAGCCACGATGATTTGAGGATATGTGATTTATTCAGCATTTTGTTCTCAGCACAGTTAACGCGTGCCTAAGGTTCACCCCCATTTAGAGGGTTTTTTCTCAAAAAAAAAAAAAAAACTTCCTCAAATTGTATAATGATTTTGCCGTCTCATTGGCAACATCTGAGTTAATGAGATGAATAATCTAAAAAACAACACAGAAAAGCAAACAAACAAACAAAAAAACCCCACACACAACCAGATTGTCGTTTTATTAATAACATTTATGCAGTGGCATATGCTACTGCAGAAAATCAGAAATTCATAACACACAGATTTGCACTGGAAATACACACACAAAAAAAACCGTTTGAGAGCCAAGAGGTCAGGCTGATAGCACCACAAAATGTTTTTTTTTTTTGCTCAGGGTCTGAGCAGGCGTGTGATGTCCAGGAAGAATAAAAACACCTGTGCGAGGCTGAGACTGGACAGCCCAAGATCGTGCAAACGCACCCCAGCACCATGTCCTGTCCGTCCGACAACAGAAACCCAGGGCACGGGTCCTCCGGGGGGCCTGGGGGCCAACACGAGGCACAGCAGAGCGGAAAACACTCGCCCCAGACCCTTCTTGCTTCTAACCTTTTAGCCAGGACAAACGACAGCAAAGTAGCAACCACCGAGGCATTTTTGTTTGTTTGGTTTTTTTGTTCCTTCTCGCCGGAACGCAAGATATAAAAGGTTAGTAAAACACACGCAGGGCTTTTCTTTTTTATCAGCGAGCAAGTCAGAGAAACGGGAAGCAGAGATTTGACCCAAATATCACCCACGTACGTGAGTCGTCCAAGTGATCTGATCCCTAAGGGGAATTATAAAATGAGTGAAATGAGCAATTCTGCACCAGAGGGGGCAATATCATCTCCACACGGCTCAGCACTTTCCATTCACAGGTGTGTGATCATCCAGAGAGGGACTGGCATCGATCGGACAACCCTCGTGTAGCGGGGTGAAGGGCAGAAAGAAAGGGGTGACGAACACTGCCAGGCTTTCCTCTCGCCCCTACCGTGTTTCCCCCCAAAATAAGACCAGGTCTTCTATTTATCTTTCCTCAAGCAGACACCCCATGGCTTATTTCAGGGGTTGTGTTATTTTTTTTTTTAAGTGCGGTACAACCATCTGCATTGACTCAAACAGAGTGAAGTCGTCTTCTTCTGGAACATCATCCTCACTCTCCAGACCCCAAATCCCATCCCGAATGTCTTGCGACTCTGTTTCCTTTAGAGCCACCGGCCCCGATCTGTCCTGTCGAGCACTAGAGCTCTCACGGGGCGGATGAGAAGGGCTGCTCATGTTCTTTCCCGCTCCGCGACAACACGCATGGGTTGTGCAGATGCGCTGCGCAGCCACGCCCGTCACCAGGGCTGATTTTCATAGCCACGCCCACCACCATGGCTGATTTTCATAGCCACGCCCACCACCATGGCTGATTTTCATAGCCACACTCACCACTAGGGCTGATTTTCATAGCCACGCCCACCACCAGGGCTGATTTTCATAGCCACGCCCTTCACTAGGGCTGATTTTCAGGGTTGGGCTTCTATTGCGCACATGCTCAGACATCCTGCCCGGGCTTATTTTCGGGGAAACGGTACTTCTGGACGTCATGAAGCTGACCCAGAAGTTCCGCCCTGAACTAACCGCCAAAGCTGGTCGTAAGTGGCACCTGGCCGGCTGTCCCCAGTTTCAGACTCTGGGCTCACCCAAATCCATCCTCCTCCGAAAACCTAACTCTGGTCTCCGAACGCTCCATCAGACCTTCCTCTGAGCCTCCTGTTTCTGGGGGCCGGTCCATTCACAGTCTTGCCTCCTGCTGATGCATTGTCACCACTTTTCCCTTCATGCCTGTCCGGAACCACAGCCAGACCCAGGCCCACGCGGAGTGGGGTCTCTCTGCACCCGGTATGAGATTACTTCATAATCCAAGTAGAGGAGATGATTTATTTCCCCCCCTCTCTACCTGCTGCTCTTGAGATATTGCCACCATCGTCTCACCTACTCTTGCTAAATCTGCCACTCACCCATTGCACAGTTCGTTCATTCACTCATTCGTGGCCCCCCCCCCCCGGAGCGCTCACCACCTGCGAGGCGCTCTTGAAAAATGTCAGGCGTGGCTCACGCCAAGGAGCTCACAGCCCCGGAGAGCAGCCCGTGACCTTTCCCGGCTCATTCTTTCCAGCTTCTGGTGCCATCACTTTGGGATGTTCTCAAAGACCTCGAGTCCTGCTAATACAAACCCTGCACCACGCGAACGCTCCGTTATCTGCTGGGCGATCATGGTGACCCACGCCCGAGGAGGAGGAGGAGGAGAACGCACATGCCTTTTGCTCCTGGAAAACGGAACTGTGCCTCCCCCTGGCTAGACAACGAGACCAGGCGTGCTCCTGCCCCGGCAGAAACAAAAGAGAAACAAAAGCGAGCCACACGCGCACACCACACAGAAACTCGTGAAGCCGATGCTTGAAGAACGCTATTTTTAAAGCCACCTCGCGTGTGGCCTTCGTCATGTGCTGGGATGGCAGAAATAATTGCCTGAGCTACCACCAGAAAAGAACCCCCTGCAAGAGAAATCCCTGAAACTCTGCCCCTGCCTGCCCTGGGACAGGCAGCAGAGGAGAGCCAGTGTGCATTTTGTCCACTCTGATTCCTGACCTACTTTGTGTTCCCATGAATCGCTTACTTTGCTGGAACCCTAACAAAACGAAAAACCCTAACGGCTAGCAAAGATGACGGGCTTGCCTATCAGTGCCAGACCGGGCAGGGCCGGGACTGGCAGGCAGGCGTGGTGGCGTTCTAAGCTGAACTAAAAGGCCACGGTGCATCGACCTGGTTCCCCAGGTTCCCTCGCCAGGGAGGAATGTCTCCTCCGTGTGGCGGGAGCCGCTCGTGGGCAAAAGACATCTCCCCGGGCCTCACTGGGGGGCGTCAGTAACATGCTCTGAAAGATTGACAGGCCCTGGGTTTCTGTCCCTCCCTTTGTAGCAGGGAGGCCTCCGTGCCCCGGGCCTCCCAGCAGAGGCCGGAGGTTTCTGGCAGGATTTGCAGGGAAGTGCCCCACGGCATCTAAAGACACTGAGGTCCCGGGTGAGGAGGGTTTTGCAAACGCAAACTGCAGTCAGAGGCCACGGAGCGCAGGGTGCTGATGAAAACTACGGGCAAGTATGTACGTTGGGCTAATTAGAATTATTTTGGAGACAGAGTCTCGCTCTGTCGCACGGGCTAGAGTGCCGTGGTGTCAGCCTCGCTCACAGCTACCAACCTCCAACTCCTGGCCTCAAGGGATCCTCCTTCCTCAGCCTCCTGAGTAGCTGGGACTACAGGCATGCGCCACCATGCCCGGCTAATTTTTTCTCTATATATTTTTAGTTGGCCGATTCATTCATTTCTATTTCTAGTAGAGACGGGGTCTCGCTCTTGCTCAGGCTGGTCTTGAACTCCTGAGCTTGATCGATCCTCCCGCCTCGGCCTCCCAGAGTGCTGGGATGACAGGCGTGAGCCACCACGTCCGGCCGGATTAGCAGAATTATTATTATTTTTTTATACTATATATTTTTAAATTTCTAATAATATCTATTATTTTTCTTTCTTTCTTTCTTTTTGGCCCTTCTTCAGGAGCTATTTCAAGTTAGAATCGGCAGAATTTTCAAAGGAATCCGGGTGTCAACAATTCCTGCTCTCCCGTCCAGAAACCCAGGAAAAGCCCAAGTAGGAGAAATCCGGGGGAGTGGGTGGGAGAGGAAACTGAGACTCCTGCACTCGCTCGGTCTCTCTGGGACCTGGTACATTCCCGGTCCTATAACCGGACTCCCAAGCTCCTGTCCTGCCACCAAAGCTGCTGATTTCCTACCATCAGCCCCGAGGAAGGGGCCACTGACAGCTGCCGACACTAGCAAAATACAGAAATAACCCTACAGAAAATAACCCTACAGAAATAACCCTACAGAAAATAATCCTACAGAAATAATCCTACAGAAAATAACCCTACAGAAAATTATCCTACAGAAAATAATCCTACAGAAAATAACCCTACAGAAAATAACCCTACAGAAATAACCCTACAGAAAATAATCCTACAGAAAATTATCCTACAGAAAATAATCCTACAGAAATAATCCTACAGAAAATAGCCCTATAGAAATAACCCTACAGAAAATAATCCTACAGAAAATAATCCCACAGAAATAATCCTACAGAAAATAATCCTACAGAAAATAATCCCACAGAAATAATTCTACAGAAAATAATCCCACAGAAATAACCCTACAGAAATAACCCTACAGAAATAATCCTACAGAAAATAATCCTACAGAAAATAATCCCATAGAAATAATTCTACAGAAAATAATCCCACAGAAATAACCCCATAGAAAATAATCCCACAGAAATAACCCTATAGAAAATAATCCTACAGAAAAAATTCTACAGAAATAATGCCAAGAAAATAATCCCACAGAAATAACCCTACAGAAAATAATCCTATAGAAAATAACCCTACAGAAAATAACCCTACGGAAATAACCCTACGGAAATAACCCTACAGGAATAACCCTACAGGAATAACCCTACAGGAATAACCCTACAGGAATAACCCTACAGGAATAACCCTGTTCCAGTTCTCTGGGGCTTCTCGGTGGTTCTCTGCTCCTCCAGGCAGCTCACCTGCCAGCCTACGGGTGTGGCGCCCGCCGTCCTCGACTGTCCCCTTCCCTTTCTATTTCTCTTTTCCTCTTTCCCCTCTGCAAGACCGATACAAAAATACCAGCAATTTCCCCTTTACCCCTCCCTCCCCACCCGGCCCCAGCTTTATATAAAAAAAACACCGAGACTCTGGGAAAAACAGAGCAGAGCAAAACTGCAAGGGGTGGGGGCCCTGCCTGTCACACTTCTGTCCCATCCTGCAGATCCTCGCGGGCTCTGGCCTCCGGGCTCAGCCTCCTCACTCTGGCGCCGAGGCCGGCGTCCCACGCGGGGCAGCCCCTGTCCCTGTCCACGCGGCCCGGGCTGCACCTGCCCGCGGCCGCCACCTTGCAGCTGCGCAGAGCCTGGGCCTGCAGAGCATCCTCCTCCTCCTCCTCCTCCTCTTCTCCTGGCACTGCCTGGTGCCACACAAAGCCACCAGGACCACAAGGAGCAGGAGCGATGGCTCGGCCAGGGCCGCCGAGGTACGCGCCGCTGGGCCAAGGGAGGTGGCGGCCCCGCCGGCTCGTGGCCCCTCCCAAGCTCAGGGACTTCATGTGGTGCCGTTCCTGACTCGGTCCTGCCCTGTGTCATACACGCAGTGGTCTCCAGTCCCTCCGGGCCCGCGCCCCAGGGGGAGACCCGAGAGAGCCTGACACCGGGGGGGCCCGCGGGAGCTGTCGGCCCGATGCAATAGATCACTTGCAGTACCACTCGTGCCCCGCGCTCCACCTCGGAGCGAGGGAGACGGGACAGAGAGGAACTCGTCACAGCCCCCAGAATCTCCGGAGAGGAAGGGACACGGGGACACGGCCGCTGCCCGGGATTCGCGGGGACGGATACATCGGTGGCAAGAAAAGCATCAGGGACGCTTCGTGTTGGCCGGGCGCGGCGGTGGCCTCACGCCTGTCGTTCCCGTCACTCCTGGAGGCCGAGGCGGGAGGATCACTCGGAGGGTCAGGATTGGAGACCGCTGAGAAGAGCGAACCGGTCTACTACCAAAAATAGAAACAAATTAACTGGCAACTAATATATATATAGAAAAAAAATTAGTCCGGGCATGTGGTGGCGCCATGCCTGTAGTCCAGCTGCTCTGGGAGGCTGAGGCCAAAAGGAGGATCGCTTAGCGCTAGGAGGTCAAGTTGCTGTGGGGAGCGAGGCTGATGCCACGACACTCACTTTAATCCCGGCGACAGAGTGCAGGACTCTGTCTAACAAAAAAAAAAAGAAGAAAAGAAAAGAAAAGAAGAAGAAGAAAAGAAAGAGAAAAGAAGAAGAAAGAAAAAAAAAGAAAAGAAAAGATTACTGAGTGTTTATGCTGGCCGGTGCGGCTGGTGGCTCAACCGCCTTCATCCCCAGCACTCTGGGAGGCCGAGGCAGGAGGATCGCTGTAGCTCAGGAGGTTAGACCAGTTCTGAGCAAGACCCCGTCTCTACTACAATAGAAAGCTACCTAAAATGAGCAGGACAGCTAAAAATATATACAGAAAAAAATTATCCGGCGTGGTGGCGCATCCTGTAGTCCAGCTACCCTGCGCGGTAGGCTGAGGCAGGGAATGGCTTATGCCAGGGAGTCTGGAGGGTTGCTTGGAGCGAGGCTGGCCACGGCACTCTAGACTGGACAGTAGAGTGAACTCTGCCTCAAAAAACAACAACAAAAACCGAAACAGCCCCATTCCAGAGAGGATGGGATAGGCGGTACACTCCTGTTTCCGAGGTCTTGCACGGACAGTGGCCTCAGTTCTGTCCTCCCGACCAGACTCACCTTGTAGAGCGCCGTCCTACCTTCAGCGTGAACCCCGTCCACGCCCGCTGCTGCTGACCGCCTGGAAGTCGGGCCCAGCTCGGAGGCAAAGTGAGCCTCGAAAAGGCACTGTCATGGAAGTCTTATCCGTCCACCTCTGGCTGGCTGCGGTCCTGGAATTCAGGGAAAAAAAATGCAAGATTTAAGGCCGGGCGCGTGTGCCACCGTCATCCCACACTCTGTGAGGCCTGAGCGGAGATCCCTCGAGGCAGGGTGGCACCGAGCAGCGACGTCTCTACTAAAAAAATACGAAAGAAATTAATTGCCATACATATATATACGAAATAAAAATGAGCCGGGCATCGTGGTGCATGCCTGTATTCCAGTGCTACTCGGCGAGCTGAGGCAGGAGGATCGCTTGAGCCATGGAGTCTAGGTTGCTGTAGTGAGGCTGACCCCACCGCACTCACTCTACCCGCCTGAGCAACAAGGAGACTCTGTCTCAAAAAAAAAAAAAAAAAAAAAAAATCATGAAACACAAGCACAAAAAACAAAAAGAAAAAGATGAACACTATTCCTCTTCCTCGGTGTCAAATAAAAGCTTGTCAGGCGCGCACACCTAACCGAAACCCTCGGTCCGTCGGGTCCTAGTGTCTCAGCCGACAGCAGGGAAACGACCATAACGGAAACCACACACATCACTTCTCGTTGTACCGCCAAATAAATAAAAAAATAAAGAAAACAAGGAGAGAGAGACAAGAGACAGAGAAAGATAGAAGAGAGAGGACAGAGACAGGAGAACATTGATCCAGAGAACACAGAGAGAGAGACAGAACTGTGATAGTGGAGACATCATATCAATATTGTGCCCTATTTCTTGATTGTGCACTAATGATCACTAGGAAATGCTGTTTTCAAGAATCTGCATGGGAGAATGAGTACATAGAGACAGTAAATTAAGATACGAGTAGAGACAGCGACATGATGATTATGCATGAGAGGAGAGAATCTTATAAGTGTCCTGCAGGATGGGTGAGAGGCAACAGATGACACGACTTAGCTTCACAGAATGATTGAGGATAGAGGCAGGGATCCGTTCTCTCTTATCTTC